GGCTCCGGGGCGCCGGTGATGAGGGCGGCGAGCAGGGGCTGAAGCCGGCGAGGCGGCGGCGGCGACCATGACGGTGTTCAGGCAGGAGAACCTGGAGGAGCACTACGAGACGGGCGAGGACCTCGGCAGGTGGGTGCGGGCCGGCGGCGGGGCCGGGCGGCGGGAACCGTCGCCGCCGAGCGCGGCGGGGCACGGGGCGAGGGCAGGCGCAGGTCCTGCCTGCCGCTGGAGATGCCCCCGCGTTGCCTTTCCTCCCCCTCTGAGGTGCCCGGGGACGGGAAGGGCAGTTGGATTTTAAGCTGCGGCGTGTTTGCTTTTTTTAGTACGGGTCTGAGGGGGGGTTGGACTTCGGCGGTTCCCCATTACGACCTTCTGTGATTCTACGATTACTGCCTTCTCGGCGTGGTGCCCATCTGGGTGTCGTGCAGCGCGGACGGGAGTACCGGCTGCCTTCGGGCCGGAGGGGCAGCTGTGGAATCCCAAGGCTTGGTGCTGTTAGCCAGGCGGGTAAACTGACTGGAAGCGTGGTGGGTTTGCAGGACAGAAGTTTGCATTGTGTCAGTAGTGGAGGACTCCGCGTGTATGGCGTGTTGGTTTCGCTTTAATAACGCGGTTAAAGAGGCGGGAGAAACTCCATTTCATCAGTAAGTACTGCTGCGGTGCAGATCACTTTCTGGGCATCGCTGCTGGAGCTGGAAGTCGGATCAGGGGATGCTAGCAGGGCGCCGCAGATGAAGCACTGCCTGCTTGAACCGCAGTTCTTGAATGCTGTGTGGTGGTGTTCCTCCGAGCTCAAGCCAGTAGTCATGCCTTGTTTTTTCAGTGCTGTCTGTGTTTTAAAACTGTCGGTTTAACACTGAATTGTGTTACGTGCGAGTCCCTTTCATCTTCCTTCCCCCTTCTTTAAGGGGGAATCCGGTGGCATTTTAGCGCACCAGTATGGCAGAATCCTTTCCTCTTGGTGATTTCAAAGCTTAGGATCAGTGCTTAATTACCACAGGACAGTGTCCGTGGGGCAGATGATCCCACATCTACTTGTGTATACTTTTCCAGTGAAGGGTCCAGTAGTAGCTAATGCTGTGAACAAGGTAGTGGCATAGGCAGGAACTTGGAACACTGTGTCTTAAAAAAAACAAACAAACAAAAACAACCAAAGGAACAAAAAGCCCCCACAGTATCAGAAAGTTCATTGGACTGCATTTAAAATAAACCTCACCCCATTTATGTACAAGCTTGTCGCCGTGACTTGTACGGGTACATGATGAATGTGTACTCTTATTTTCGCGTAGTGTTCTGAGTTGGCTTTTTCATACATCTAGAATGACAGGCTGTGTTGGACAGCGAAGTCTTACTAACTTGTTGGATATCGTGTTAGAAAGACATTTTATCATGCTAAGCTGTAAGTTTTGGTTATGTGGTCTAAATATTTTGTTTGGACACAAAATTGTTTGATTTCATTTCCATTCTTTTTTGGCAAGAACACATAAAGTATTCTGAAATTCAAGTTTAGGTTTCTGGACTCTTAAAAATAAAACTATGTGCATACAGACACCAATACGTGATTTACTTTATAGAAGGAAATAAAGACACAGCTCTAGAAATTGTCTATCATGTTTTCTTAAGGTTCTTCAGGGAGAAGACAATGTCAGTATGCTAGTTTAGAAAGTGTTGAAGGTTTATATAACCTCTCTTGTATTTACTTTTAAAGAGAAAGTGTCAACGCAATGTTTGGTCCCCAGTACATATTTGTGAAATAGAACAATTGGCCTTAGGCCAATTACATAAGAAATGTTTAAATATATGGGGATTTTTCCAAACAAACATACTTTGGAGGTCACATGTGAGCTCCAGAACACAGCAGTGAAGACCAAGCATTTCATTTTTACAGTACGGGGAAGTGCAAACACTGAATAATGTTATATAGGTTTTTTTTTTTTTTAAAAAGAGTTTTTCAAATTGGCAGAATATTAGGTAATAGCGTTCAGTAAAAAAAAAAAAGTGTATTAATGTGATCAGTTACCGACAAGGTATTACAGTACTGAAGTTGTTTTTATTCATCTTAATGCTATATAAGCTTGGCATGCATTCCAAACCTGTAATATTTTAAGAATTTAAAACAGTGTTAAACTCTGCTCTAGTTTTTCTTTGGAAAAAAGTGAAGGAAACTAAGAAACTCATCAGTTTTATCTACTTTTGTGAGAAAATACGGGTGGATGGTAAAACATTGTGAAATATTTGACAGGGCTTTTGCTTTAAAAATGGAATGCAGTTATTTAGAAGGGCCAAAGCTTTCATTTCATCATCACTTTAAGAAACCAGGATTATTCCACTGCGAAGTGTTGCCATAAAACCATAAGAGTAAACAAATCTTAGGATAGCTGTTGTATGGTTTAGTTCAGTGGTGGTTTTAACTTCTTTTTAAATTTAAATTTCTAGGATTGCTTGAAATGTTCTCTTGTAAATCCCATTGCTTTCCATTCCTCCGTTACCTCTTCGGTAGGTTTCTCACCGTTACCTCTTCGGTAGGTTTCTCACCGTTACGTTTGCGTGTAAATGTAGTTGCAGATGTCAACCCTGAGGATCAAAACTCAGAAAGCAGAGAGTATTAAAAATACCTTTGACTTTAAAATTTCTTGTGTTCATTTGGGAACCCAAATGTGATTTAATACTTGAGCCAAGCAATGATGAAAGGTTCCATTTTGCAAAATCAACCTATTTTTCCCCTTCTAAGGGAAGAATTCTTCTATTTCCTCTTACTTAGCTGCAGTCATGCAGCAAACAAGGTGAATAAATGAACAGATGAGTTTTTATTGGCAGAGGTGTGTTTGAATAAATGGATCCTGAAGTTCCTAGGCCAACCTGCCTTTTGAGAAAGCTCAGTGAAGATGCAAATCCTCAGAAATTTTAATAATCTTCACTATTTTCCCTTGTAAATTATTTAGCAGTCTTTATTACCTTATAATACTTCTGACAGTAACTAGAATAAAAAAATCATTTGAATAAGAAAGTGATCTAAGAAAGGTGTCTTGAAGAAAGTAAATGGATTATGTAAATTAAATTTTTGACTGAAACTAATAAAGGAGGTTTAAATATTGCTTAACATAAAACCTTGAGTTGTTGGAAACAAGGAGAAGGGATAATGGTGTGCCTAGGCTGAAAAAAAATGCACTTTCTGGTTTTCTGGTATTTCACAGTGCCTTTGCAGAAAAAGTAATAAATGGTCCTTGTCCTTTTACCAAAATGTTTGAGTTTTATTCCATTTTTTTGTTTGTTTTGAATTATGCAGCAGGAGAGTAAGAAAAAAGAAACTTGGGATTGTGCATACTGACAGGATCACCCTTATTTGTCTTGCCCTGTACATGATTTCTTCCGACACATTTGTGGCTGTTCAAGTTGGTTTATCTTAAGCTTTTGTACCAAAACAGTCTTGTGAGACTTGTGGATCAAATGTTGTCTTTAGCACAGAACATATAAGAAGATTGTGCTCTTGATCATTGCGTATGTTGCATTGCATACGCTCTTCTTCCGTCTTACGAATTTGAAGTGATTGCATCGTTCAGATGCAGGCTACCTACAGATGTGTTAAGTAATCATCTGACCGTGAAATTTCAAGGGGTGGTAGAGATTATTGTGAAAGCTTTAGTAAATTTGTCGCTCTATTTTGTTCATTTTAATTCTGCCGGTAGTTGCAGGCAGTGTGACTGTGCATTTTAAATACCCTGCTGCAGTTGTTTTACTTCAGTCAGCCCAAAAGACAGAAATTCAAGTTCATCAGTATTAAAAACCTCACCACGGTGAGCACACAAGTAAAGACCTTGAAACTAGATCAAACTAATAAAAATATTTTTTCTACCCTCCTGTGACTGGCCTTACTTGGGAGTTGCTACTGTACTGTAAGAAATGAGGCATTGCTTAAATAATTACAGGGAGAGGTACCCAAACAAAGCTATGGTATAGATACATACTGTGTCTGTTTATGTGAATTGAAGTGATTTAGTTTCTGATCTTACAAACAGCTCCCTCCTCCTTCATCCCTTACTACCCCCTTGTTTGTTTGTTGTTTTTTTTTCTTTAAACTTTCATGTGCTTCCTAAAAGAGATGCAGATTGTTGTAATAAAGTTTTGGAATTGAAGAATGGTATTTGCATTGCACTGTAGTTTGCAATTTTTAGATTCTTGTTGATTCAAAAAGTAGGAAGAGGTATCTAACAATTTTAAACTTAAAGCTTGTTTGGACCTGTTGGACTCACTAGGGAAACACTTGTTGAATAAAAGCTGTGATGAATCTCAGCAGTTTTGGAAACCAGTCTGTTTCTGCTTGATAGCTCACTAAGCAGAGGCACTAACAGTAAAAAGCAGTAAGCTAACCCTGCTATCTAAGGTATCTAATCACTTTATCATTTGTGAGATAAAAATGCATAGGATAACATGCTGAAGATGCCGATAAGGGAGAACAGGGAGCTGTGCAAATGTGTATTTACAATCTGAAAAACATTCTTTTGCCTTTGAGTGTTGAGTGAAAAGAAATTTTTAAATTTTTTTTTCCCTGGATGCTGGAAACTGATTTCTGTAGTAAGCAGGGAGTATGTAAGCAGAACACAAATATATATATCTATGTGTGTGCGTATGTGTATGTATATATGTATTTTTGGTTATTCACGTATCACTTTTCAGAAATGCTGCTTTTTAGAACTGCGAAGGCTGTACATCATCTGTCCACACACCATAACTGTAACTACGTTGCACACCAGTGTTGGGAGGAGAATAAAAACGCTGAACAAAAAATAACTTGGATGGCAACTAGAATTTGACCTTCATGGCGCTTTCAGGCTTGACAACTTAAACTAATCTTGCTAACTAGCTGATGTACTAAAATTGTGTGAGTATTGTCAAGCTCTCTTGTGAGATGTATAGGATGTGAAATTCCTTTGAGGTGATACTTCCACTGTTTCCTGTGTTATGTGTACAGGCACAACAATAAATACAGCAAATGTGGAATTCTATAACTACATGCATGCATATTCCAGTAGAACATGATAATTAATTACAGTAAATTGAGTGGACTGTATGAGTTTTTCAGGGACGAGGACCTGGGAAGAAACCTGGAAAACATTGGCCACAAAGCTGCT